ATACAATCATAACTATAAACGAAAGAGCTGCACTCGATCAAACTAAGGGAAGAAAAAAATGCAAGATTGATTGAATTCTAGTTTTCGGCTACAGCTTTCGCACAGTATCGCCCGGCAGTGACAAAAATCTTTTAAAAACCGAGAGGGCAGGAAATGAGAGCGAAACTGTAATTAAGCGAACACATATTGTTGGTAATGTGAGCAATATCTCGTAGGATGGATTTTTTAGCAGATGGTTTTGTAGGTAATTGGTCATGGCCTCCAATTAAAAGATTCAACACATTATTAGAAGCTTTGATCTCATGATCGGAATAATGGTTATAGATCATATTGCTTAAGAACAACGGAGATATGTGAAGTAGAAGTAAAGATCACTTTTGGTGGTATGTGATGCAGCGGTCAATCCATTGACCAAACCATTGATCCTCCATCGATCCATTGTCCATCACAAATACATACATATATAATTTTACGCGCGTACAAGGCGCGGGGATTCTCTTCTAGAATCAACCAGCCTAAATACGTCAAATGATTCGCGACTAAAGAACCCGATACCGTGGCTAAGAGGAACGTGCGGCATAAGGATAGCTTTCCGAAACACAGTGAACCGGCTAAGCTTCTTTTGAAAAATTAAAAAAGTCCGCCTTGTACTCGTAAAATTAGGGTATTTCGAAAGACAAAATTTTACCATATGCCACGTAGTCCTTGCTAGACAACTAACTCGATCTCCTTGCTGATTTGGTCTTATCGATGAACTAGTTGCCCACGCTTAAAGGCAGCGGCTCGGCAGATTGACCTACCTCAGATTTGGACACAGATGGATAGGAGACTCTCCCAGTGAACCAAAACAGCAACTCCGCGCCGAAAATGTGAACTCTGCAACCCAGGGGGGAGGCAAGCGCCGCTCCCCTTCCTCCTTTCGCTCTCCTAACACCTTGTTCGAACGAGTATGTTCTCCGCTAGAAACGCGCCGTGGGTGGAGGACTATATGTCGCCGAATATGGAAGAGTCCCGCGCGGATTTCCTGCAGGAACGCATGACCGCTCGTGTACAAGGGTGCGTATTTGTCGCAAATAACCGCGAGGACCGCCCTTTTTCGGTGACATATAGTCCTCCACCCACGCGCCGCCATTCGTAGCGTAGAGCAGTGTTTTCTACCTCTTTACTCTGCGTATCTGACGGCAGAGAAAAACGGCTCACTCGTCCGCGCCCGTCTCAGGAGGGGTTTCAAAATACGAGGTTTTCCCCATTTTCGCGCTAAGGGGAGTTCAAATCATGATTCAGAGGCCGGAGTAGCCTCAAATCTGCCAAAACCCCGAAGCTGAAAATCTGCCGAGACGTTGCCCTTAGAGGCAGCGTTCAGGTAATTAGAGCTATGGGGATTTTACGTGGAAAGTAATTTTGGGGCGCTAACTAAGGCGCTGCCCAAGCGGCAGCTTTGGTGACTCACTAACGGCTAAGATATACGCCTCCAAACTGGACCCCAGGATCGTATTTGCATAGATTCATGGCGCAACCCATCAATTTCGCGCGAGCTCCCTCGCGTTGCACCATGAATCCATGCAAAATACGATCCTAAGGTCCAGTTCCGAGGGGACTATCTCAGCCGTTAGAGCACCACCTGAGCTGTCGGTTGGGCATTGTCTTAGTTAGGGTCCCAAAATTAATTTCCACGTAAAATCCCTATAGGTCCATATTTGTCTGAACGCTGCCTTTGATGCCAAAGGGCCTTAAAGTAGGATTTCAGTCAGTCAGGGTGAGAGCTATAAGCGTGGAAGCATATCATTATAGCAAAGCGTTTTCATAGGTAAAGATGCAGTATATCGGACTTTCTTTCTGTATGGACTTGGGCGTTCTGTACGCATCCGGGCATTTTCTCTGAGAACGGCATTGCAATCTTAAACATGTTACGCAAGCTGGTTTCTTCGTTATTGCTACACTACTTCTTTCTACGTGATTCGTCTGGACTGGGCTTAAATGAGGTGTTGTTACTTTTGTGATTCATATATGAATAACACGTTGATGTTTTTGGTTTGGAACGCCTAGAGCGTATACATGGCATGAAATGAAGTGAAATAAAAAGACGAAAGTGAAGGCCCATAAGTGTAAAACTGAAATAAAGTGGAGCAAATGAATTTTTTCGGAAATCTATTCATAGCCTTTACCTAACAAAATAGAAATGTGGAGTTTGTAAAGCGCATTAGTTTATCCGAGGTTCTTTTTAAGGAGCATACATCTAAGTATCCCTTCAACTAAACTTATGGTGAAGAGATCATTTGATGTTCAAAAAAGCAGTTCAGTAAAGGCTAACGCTACTAACATGTCCATCTATCGAAATAATAGTTGGTTGTTAGGAATATGTGACATGCTACACCCTCTGTATCATAAGGAGTGATTGGGGCTTGTACGGTTCTGGTCCCTTGCGGCCCCCGCTCGTGGGCTCTGTACCTTTAGTGCGGGCGTCTTCGCATGGATTGCTCTAGTTGCTAATCAAGCAAATGCATAACAAACAATTTAAACAGTTTTTTTTATATTGTTAATACCTGTACTTTCGCTTCTCGCTCCAGTCGCTAATTCAAAAAAGGAGACATTTATAACAAAATCATCTATTACCCAGACATATTGAAATAATTCCAATGGCCGATCACAATCTCAAGGAAGAGAATTCACTGCGTATTACAGTTTTTTTACAGATGATGAAAAATATGGAGTGTAGAGCTCATTAGGAGTACTCTGCTATAGTCTCTTTCCATCAAAACCATCTTGACTAATATTTTATCAAATTTTGAGAAGTGAATACTTCTAATACTCAATCATTTTTGCTTATGATTTCAAACTCTTCCGATGCTTTCGGTGATCAGGTCAGATCAGGACGAACTCATTCCTGTTTTTATCCATATTTTCGCCAACCAGCACACCAAGGATGACAATAGTTTTCTTTAACATTTCGGCCGTGCACCCCTTCTGAAATTTTTCTGCTTTAAACAAACCCCTCCACCATCGTCGAATCTTGGGGAGGTTGCTAAAGTACTCAATAAATTTTTGTGCGCTCCTGGATGCGGTGCGTTAGGAACACCACAAGCCGCAGAGAAATTTTTTGAAGGTTTTGATAGCTCGATGTGCTTTTGTTTTCCCCTCAGATGATTATGCTTCCTTCTAAACGATCCAACAAACTCCTCTCCCCTCCCCTCCTCTCCCACCTCGAGAGTGGTCGCGAAATTTTTGAAACTTGCTTATACGAGTTATAAAAATGATCGACTTGTTGACTTGACTTGTTTATACTTGTAAATGATTAGGAAAATATTGAAACTTAAAAAAATTTTTTTCGGGGCGTAGCTGCCGCCACGTCACCCTTTCCTGAAATATCGGGGTTATGGCCCCGCAAAATTTTGAGAAGTATCTTCAAAAGTTTTTCGGACTTTATTTATAAAGCTTCTGTCGTCTCCCCCCCCCCCCTCCCCCCAACCCCAACGAACGGAAAAATTTTGGGCACGCCACTGGCACAGTCGTACAAAAAAATAGAAAAAAGCTTTTAATGCACTTTTTTATCAGCTTTTAGGATTTTGCTAAATCTCTTTTTCAGAGTTACTAAAAAAGAGTGTATAGGGAGTGATAGCAGTTCAGTTTTTGAACTTTCTGGTTTGATGGGTTCAGTGCTTCATTATTGTTGTAATCCAATTGCACAATGTTGTCAAGTTTTATTCGCTTTCAAATAGTCTGAGATGTTGTATGTAACCATGCACGAACATGAAACTCTTTTAAAATTGGAAATGATTAACTAAAAGTCTGGAGGCTACTTGTACTTTGGTTTTGCTCTGTTTGTGTGCTAACCTTTGATTCAACTGGCTTGGCGGCTGGAAGAAGAGGTTTTGTAGCTACTTTTTCGTTATCCGGACCCATTTTTTAAAAGGCTCCCTCCCTCGTACCATATTTGGTGCCGACTTCACAGGAGGGGTGTCAACCAGGGTAAAGCGGGGGGTGCGGCACGCCGCAAGGGGGGGTCGTAAGGGGGGGGGTAGGTAGGGGGGGGTCGTATTGACCCAAGGTCAAAAGCACTTGTACAAGCTGTGTGACTAAATTGACTTGATGAAAGCGCTGTTGAAATCCTGCAAAATTCAAGTTCAACGACACAAACTTGCAGATACCGTATGCCTACCGTAACCTACCGTACCTCTAATCAAGCATAACTGTCGTAATCCGCGTGTCAAATAACCCCTATGCGCCAAGTTTCAGCGAACTCTGAGGTCTCCGAGCAGTAAACAACCTTGTATAAAGCAGTAATTTAAAACATGTTTAACTTCATCTTAACGGTGAGTAAGCTACCTCTTCTTGCACTCAATACAAAGCACTACTCATTCTTTGTCCACCTCAGGAATCCCGCTTCAGAAGACCTCCAAACTATTGAATTAGAAGCCAACCAAAATCGCTTTTAGCTTTTGATCGCTGTGCTTTCACCAAATATTACTCAGAGCTAAGAAGAAGAATCAGGCTCAAAACATTACTATGGAATCTACGAGGTTTAGGCTATTGATTCATATAAATATTGTCCGCTAAAAATGTTTTTTGATATAGTTAATGGCCTGCGGCACCCCCCCTCAAAACCTGCGGCTGCCGCAGGTTTTGAGGGGGGGGTGCCGCAGGCCATTAAGTCACCTTCAAAGAGGTTAAACATGAACGCTATCTACATCCTTGCAATTAGTGAACCTTCTCCTCTTTGAAGCAAAAATTTCATTCGAGATCGTTTCTTTCAAAAGAAGTTATGGAGCCTTTTTCCATTACATTCACTTTGAAACAGGGCGAAAAAAATATGGGTTACGGTAAGACGCCGGCTCTGGTCCGGTACGTAAGTTGCAGGGACGCGGCAAAGTGGATAATTTGAATGCTTTGTACTGTTAATGTGACCATTTTTGAGTTGTTCTTGCTTCCGTGTTTGTTTTCGTTTCATTATCTTTGATGATTGCTGCCATTTAGGGATGGTGCGCTTATGTTAACAATTTTTCAGGGCATTTCCGATGAAACAAACGCGCTTTTGGACCAATAAAATGTAGCATTTCCCACAGCACCCATTCCTCGCCACGATTGCTTACTTGTTTGCGATGAAGTAGCAGCTTCTCCATCTGAATGTAAGTTGTGGGATCATACTATGTTGATTTCATCTTGAATCACGACAGAGCTAGTCTATCTTGGCGAAGTCTGCGTGAAATGCTCTATTCTAGCTTTTTAATTTTATTTGCGCTTAGCTGTAAATTTTTTTCACACTCTTAGTCTCGAGTAGTTTATTGAAGATTATCTAACTTATTATCAGATGTCTTTTTCTTGTGCGAAGAATCGTTTTTCAGTAATTCTGACTTGTTAGCCCAGAAACTGGGCTAAGTCAGGATTAGTGAACAACGAGCAAATTTTGTTGCATAGCTTGTAACAAAATTTGTCTTGCCATTATACGTCAATCTGTTTGATGGAAGATTTCTTCATTTGGAAAACAAAGCTACTATTTTTTCAGGTTTCCCTCTTGCCTATCTGAACTTTCCGTGTTTTCTGATCTTTGCGAAAAGATCAGTGGTCAGAAGACTGTAGATACGGCCAGAGTGATGCGACTATTGCAGATGGATGATGAACACCTAGAAGCAGCTCGCAATAAGGATCAGATGGCAATTTTTAGGTAATTACGAGTTGCATTTCTTTTTTTACTGCGGATGTCTTGGTTTAGAGATGAAGTGTTGTCAAGTATAGATCTGAAGAATGATAGTATCGACCTTGGCACTACTATAGAAAGGGCTGCTCTGGAAGATAAAGAGTAAGTTTACAGTAATCTCCTTGAGTATCTGGATGCCAGATTTATCTGAAGTTTTGCAGTCAGTCACACTTGTTAAATGTAATATTCATTTGGATTTTAGGTATACAACTGACAATCCAGTGGCTCAATCTAGGACCGTAAGCATCTGAATCCTTTGTTTTTCAATTTTTATTGTCTTTTATCATGCTTATAGGCCTCAACAACTGATTCTGGCTTAGAAGTCGACTTTGAAGCACCATTTGTGGCAAGTGTTTTGTGTTATCCACTTATTGATGTTTAGCATCAGACAGTGAACTTATGGCACATATTTCAGAGTTCTAAAAAGAATCAACAATTGTCAGTGATAAGAAACCCAAGAAAAGGTTAAGGAAAAGAAAGAGGAAGGAAAGGGAGATGGTTGGCTTCCACGGGGAAATTCTAAATCAAGCATGCTTATCCAAGTCTTGCAAGTGGATCGTCTACCCCTCGAATGCTCGTCTTCCACAGTGTTTGAGAATTCCGAAGATGATATAGTCAAAGATGTAGAAAACCTAGAGGCAATACTCACTAAAAGTAAGAGGAGGCAAAGTGTAGAGGTGTGTGGTTGATAAATCTCTTTATTCTTACAATTCTACGATTTATAGTTTTTTCCCTATGTTCCAGATCATTTTCATGTGTTATCCATTACTAGTCATTTCCTATGATAGTTCTTGAGATAAGATAGAAGGGGGAAGGGGCATCATTGAAAGCGCCTTCTTTTCAAGTGCATTTGAGTTTTATTTAAAATCGCTCTTGTTGAGTTGAAGTGACCTTACGATGGCTTGCTTGTAGCGCGAACTGTTTAAAATTCTTAGAAACAGAATAAATTGATTTTGTTAAGGTTTTGGAAAGTGAACTAGATTCACAATCTGTGCACTCACCTTCTATAGTTTCCTCATCAACTTTTCTCAAAAGAAAGAAGAAAAAGAAGTTGAAGAAAAGCAGTTTATCACGCACAGTAAGCTGTTTTTATAAAGAGTTCGGATGATCAATTTTTGAACAGTCCTATTTACTACTTGATATGAGGAATTTGTAGATTACCAGACCCACTCATCTCAAAACCTTATTTTTGGAGAGGATGACTAATATCTATTCATTTGAGAAATTCTTCGTCCTTCCCATGTAAATTTATAATCCTGAACGTGCTTGATATCTGTAGAAGGAAATCGGCTAGCATGCATTAAAAATTTCAATCTTTTCATTTCAGAGGTTCAAATGCCTTCATTGTATTACTTAAAAGTTGACTCTGAAGCCGTCTGTTTGTTGGACAAAATGACATCTACAATCAGAGCACTGTCTCGTGGACGAACCGATATTCATCTGTTCAGCCAAAGTAAAAGATTCCCGTTTTATTTTGATGCCACCTATCTTTTATTTTGTAGATGTTGCCGTAAACGCAAAAACTGGTGTTAGACCACCTTCAACTTCTATCAATGTCGTCGATCCCGAAACTATTCAGTGGATAGTATCTGGAGAAGGAAATTGGCTGCTACAAACAGGCAAACGTTATGAGCTTTCCCTGCTGTTGTTGGATCCTCATGCAAATCAGATGTACATTAGTGATGTAAGTAGTCATCTCTTTTTTATTTGTTTCGATTTTAATTTTTTTTCTAGCTTCATTTTATGCATTCCTATTACAGAACTTGCGCTTTGACGTTGGTATCTCTAGCGACTACTTCGAAATCCACTATGCGTCCAAAAATCATAGCTATTTTGAAGTGACGCCCAAAAAAGTAGGAAAGACTACGCTGAGAAGTAAATATGCAGCTGTTGTGGATGAGGTATCACGTTTCTTTTGTATTTCTGTTACATCCGATGTCAAATGCTTGGCTTCAGGCAGGAAAAGAGCGGCGAACAACATGGAAAGTAACTAACAGGCTATACAAATCGTGGACCCTGTGAAGATCCATCTCAGGTGGCACTCCTTATCTACCCCGCAGGAAGACCTCATTTCCGCGGTTTACGATTGATGTTCCCTTTAGATTTTGTGAAGCCTAGAATAACTTGCAGAAGCGATCACTTATTGTGAAAGGCATCGTCGCTGTGCAGATTCTTCTTCCTTCCTTCCTTCACTCTCAGGTGGCTGCAGGCGTCTACTTTCAATGAGCGAAGTCATTTGTTGCCTATGTGATCTCAACTCACTGAGGAGCAGAAGCAGCAACAGTATCAAGAATTGCAAAAGGTTAGTGAATATGCTCTTTTTTCCTTCAGTTCGCTTTTCAAATGTGTCATGTGATTTCACTCTGTTTTCGAACAAAAGCCTCTAGCGTTTCGTTTTCCAGGAGTTTCTTTATAGCTTTTGGGTGCGTACTTTTTGCTATCTTGTATGAGATTATGTTTCTTTTTGTAGATCTATGAAGTGTGATGGGCTTGGCTTAGCGCTGTGCTACCAGACTCATCCGATCTGAAACAAATGAGTGACTGGGGCAAGGGTTCATTGCATGCAGATCATCTTGCATCTCCGTTGTGATGGTTGGCATTTATTAGTCGTGTCGGAAAACTCTCACAACCGAAATGCAGGATGATCTGCATTCAATAAACTCGTGCAAGTTGTTTTGCTGGGTAAATCGCGAGGCGAATCGCTTGATGTATGCCTAGCCCAAACGTAGCAAACAACGTCAGGAAATTTACATTTCCATTGCTCTTTTCATCAAAAGTTGTACAAAAAGCGAGACAAAGTAGCATTAGTCTGAGATCATTTCAGGCCAATCGTTGCGGGACAATTGTGGATGAAGACGAGTTGACTGGTGCAAATGATGATTTCCTGATGATTTTCTTTCTGATTTATTTTTTATGATTTTCTAAATAAACATTTATAGAAAGTCGGTGTAATGATTTTGCACGTTCAGCGTGCGCATCCGTGCGCGCCAACCAATCACCGTATCGAAGATATCGCTCTGCGGGTTCTGAAAACGAGGGTTTGGCCTGGAACGGCAAAAACATGGAGGTCGAAATTCTGGGTGGACGGTGCCTTCAAGAGCGAGAGGGGGGGGGGGGTAGGAATGGGGGGGGGGGTCGTGCCGAGGTCCGGCCCAAGGGGGGGGGGGGGGTCGTATCCGGCGGTCGCGTGCCGCACCCCCCGCTTTACCCTGGTGTCAACCTTGCTGCTACGTGTCAAAATTGACACGTGGTTTACATGAATAACAAGTTTAACCAAGACTCTGAGTTGCCCTAGCTAGCAACAACGTTAGTTAAATCTGTTTTTAGCAAGAGCGGCCCCATTTTCGATTGAACAGTATCAAAAATGAACATGTTATCATAATAACGTCATCACGTTATGAATGAACAGATAGACATGCCCAAAATAGAGAAGTGGGCTAGGGTCTTGTCACCTAAGTCACGAAACAAGCAGCAGCGAGGAACTTCAAGCCATCGCTTATGGTCTCGTCTGGCTAAATTTGCGAGTTTGAAGAGAAGGACAATGCTGAATCATTGCTGAGAACAACCAAAAATTATAAGTTCTAGATTGTTTTGCTTTCATAGAAAACAGCTGTCAGGTAATCACAATGCTTTACCTCACCGTAAATGATTCAGAAATAAAACATGTCAAAATGGACCAAATCGTGTCAATATTTTCTTGACACGTGGTAGGGAGGCAGTTCTGAACTCCGTGGAAAATTGTTCTTAGATTAAAGATCGTATTTTTTGAGAGCCTTCTGAAAAAATGGGTCCGAGTAACGGAAAAGTACCTCTTTGTAACCTAATTGAGCCCGCCACTCCCGCGATGCAGTCTGCGTCTCTCCCGTGCGCGTGCTCTCTGATCATTACCTAGCCTTAATTAGGTCACGAAGCCCAGCCTTCTAGCCAGTTGAATCAAACGGTACATAATCATTTGTCGCAAGTTTGGAACATAACCCTGTAAAAATAGTTTGATTTAGGCGAGGTAGTGGCAATTGCCTGAAACTGCAGCACTTTTCTGGATAGCGTTTGAGATTGCAATTTGTCAACTTATCCGTTATGAAAGAAAAGACGAAAAACGCATCGAGTCGTGCTTGATCATCTGTGAATTTTTATCATCGCATTTGGCGAGTGGTCGAAAACGCGAAATCGCTTTCGGAACGACTTAATTTACAGCTACTCAGCGCGAGTAAGCGTTCGAATGTTTTTCCACAAAGTTATCAGACTTGGAAATCAAAAGTTAGTCCTTAGCAAATATGATCAAACGATCTTGAAGAAAGAGAAGTAAATTTGTGCAGAGATGTCCATTCCGCAAAACATCAAGAACAGGCCCAGCAGGAGGTGGCATTTGAGAATCTTAAAAAAGTCTCCTTACAGTGCAGAAGATAACGAAATACCTTTTGTGGTATTTGTGGAAGCGCGGCTTATAATCTACAGCAAACGGTGAGTTAACGGAAGTAAATGGCAAGGAAAATCGGAGATAAAATAGCAACACGTGAAAAAGGCGGTTTTCAAATAATTCAAAGGCCGTAGGAAAACAGAAGAGACGAAATTTGAGTTATGATAAGTATTCATAGGTAGAGTTCAAACTGAAGAATAGACTAATGTCAAAAATTTCGGAAAATTATGTGAAGAAGAAAGAAAATTATGACTTTATTTGGTTCCGCGCAACCTCAGGGTGCTCAAAGGTTGTGCGGAGCAACCTAAGTCTAAAAAAACAGCTCTTTTCATTCACATAATTTTTTTTTCATAAATTTCATACTTTCCTTTTGATCGTCGCTGCAGAGGTACACACCAAATTTGGTGGCTCAATATTGCTTACCGGTCGTAGACGGACTGATTATCTATTATTTGTGCATAAAGATTGTGTTTCAACAGGTTGAAATCGTGTGCACATGAGTCTAAGCACTTGTTGTGTTTGCAACTTGTTAATCTACCTGTTACTGGTGAAACGACGTCAGAGTTGAAATAAGGGCTTACTAAGGGTTAGCTTTGTGCTTGCTAACATTGTATCTTGTATTAGATTGGACCCCCCCCCCCCCTAAGAACATTACGAATCTCCTTTTGCTTTATCTGAAAAAAAAAACGACATCCAGCCTGTGAAAGCGCCACCTATGCTGAGCCCTGATCAAAAATCATTGTAGTCAGAACTCATCAACTATTAGGTTGGCACATAAGTTTCGCAACCTTCCTCATGACTTCTCTCTTCTTAATTGTAGTGCCCTCTTTTTTGGCGTTACATATAGAAAACTAGGTGACTGTTTGATTTTTGATAACATAATAGGAAAAGTTAAAGAATTTTTGATAAACTGTTAAAAATGAGGTATCACGGTTTTCAGCAAAGGTGAAGCCAGGCACAGTCTGAGTCAAACTAATCAAGACATAATTGTTGGTAATGTTGCTAGAGGGAACATATTACATCTAGTGGAAAAGAAATGGAATTTGAACACAGATTAAGATTTCTCGTCCTCAAGAATCTGAACAAGCCGAATGCGTCAAATTTAAGGCCTCCGTCAATAATAATTGCAAAACTTTGATATTCCTATACTCGGCACAGTGGGGCAAACCAAATTAGATGCTCCCTTATGCGGAATGGCTGTCATTTTTGTATAGCGTAACTCTGAATCAAGTTCCAGCAAAATCTGAAGCAATTTAAAGATTTTTCCCTCGTAACGTAAATCTAAAAGCGAATTCGCCAAAACTGGCTGCATTTCTAGGTTACATCAAAACTCACACTAATACCAAAAAATTCCAGAATGAATGAAAGAATGAATGCGAATGCGCCACATTCAAATAAACCAATTAAACTAACTTCATAATACCGAAAAGTTCCAGATGAATGAAAGAATAAATGCGCCACATTCAAAAAGACCAAAGTTATATTGCATTTCTTATACTGTGAATTTACTTATGTAGTTGCGATGCTAACGCAGCATTATACTGCATTTTTTTATTTGCCACTAGAAGTTTGAACTCCCTTGACTATCGACATTTGTTTGTGGTGCTTACATAAATTCACTCATAGTCCGTTGCAGAGAATCAATTTAGCACTTTCAACCTGCACTGGTACATTTAACAATGCTTTCAATATCTGCTTAGTTTTAATTTTGACATCAATTGTGCAAAAGTACGTGGTAGAAAGCAAACAAATTGACATTCTCTGGGCTTGTTTTTATGGTATGGACTAGATGGCAAACCCGGCTGCGCCCGGGATCAACCCCTCCGGGGTGATCAGCATGCTCGATTACCCCCCCCCCCCCTGTGCAAAATCCTAGCCCCCTAGCTCAAATTTTGCAAAAAATCGATAAAATCGATATCGATCGATAACGAAAAGTAGCCTATGACACGCTCCCTGCCCCGAAGTATATGTGTGCCAAGTTTGGTTCGAATCGGTTCAGAAATAAAAATTTCTATTCCGCACATACGTACAGACATACAGACAGACAGACATACAGACATACAGACATTCAGCTTTATATATAAGATAGTCTTTGGTTAATTGTTCTAACCCACGAAATTACTTCCTAGATCACTTGTGGAATTTATTGCGATCAGATATGAGACAAGTTCAAAAATTTTTATTCCACGCTTCAGTGACTAGTTGGACTCACACCACTCAGCTTATTGTCAGAAGTAGAAAGTAATTGAGGAACGCTACAAACATTTCCTGAACGATTCCTGCTGCTTGCCTGAGAATTTATTGAAAATACATACCTGTCGAAAGCCATCACAGCGTAAGCACAGATTTTCGGAGATGCCAGCCTATTCCATTCAATTTCCGACAATATAGATATGAGCTGGAATTCCTAGAAAAGTTCGAAGGCAAAAAGCTATACGAGCTCGTTGAAGAAAATTTAATTTGAAATTTCTAAACCACACTTTTTAGAAAATTTCATCTGCCAACAGAATGAAATGGGGGAAGAAAGTAGAATAAAATATATCCGTTAAAGTATAATAGAATGATATGATCAGAGAGAGTGAAGATAATTAGAAACATTAAGCAAATATATATGGATAATCTTGATAATGAAAAATGACGCTGAAATTATTGACGATAAAAGCAGTGCGAGACCAGCCTGATAGCCTCTTTACGTAGGATGGTAATTTTTAAGCATGCTCGAAGCTCTCGAAGTTCTACTACAGTTTTTGCTGTATGACTTTGCACAAGCAAGTACGAAGCAAGATGAATAATCAGCAAGCATAATAAGAAAGAACGATCTAGCCTAAGAACGGTGCAGAAACATCGCCACTCTATGGTCTTTGAATTAATATGGGAATTGACCTCGGCGGATATAATTTAGGTAAACCGCAGCTAATGGAACGATACTTGGTATCCGTGGCTTTTCGATATGAGATGCATACCGTTACACTCGTGTTGCAACGCTGATTCCGAATCTGACCTCCTTTACTGCTGATCGTTTCCCTGAAAGATGTTATGAAGGCCTTTCGCGCCAAGTTTGCCACCCAAGGGAAATATTAGATTGGAAACTAAGTTTTGCAACTGGCCTCATAATTTCCCTCTCACTCAACATGGCGCACTCAAATTTTGCCACTGCGTTGGTTATTACGTAAGCTACAAGCGCAGCTGCTGTCCTACCAAATTCTGACTTCGCAGTGAGGGTTACGGTAGGTGCATGGTATGAAGGGGAAAAATTCAAAGTTTGACGATTGGCTGAGACTTGGCATAGGGATGTTATCCGACATGCTGATCACGAAAACGATAGTGAAATTGGGTGATAAGGGCTTTTTTGTAGGATTACTGAAAGTGTACGATATGGGGTCTCACCCTAAACAAGGAAAAAGGCGTTGATTCAACAAATGAATGTGATATTCGCGTTTGGCATGTCAAATAACCTTACTATGTAAAGT